TTAACTTCAGGCTGTTTTCCTTTCTTAGCTAAAACATTGTCACTAAAATCTACCTAAGACCAGAGAACTTTCTAATCAAGTCTTGAAGATTCATATATGCTAGTATTTATTTAAATGGAAGTTAATCATAAAAGAAAACTAAGCAATAGTAACCTAGTGCATAATACCTGGTTATCACCACAGTGTGATGCATGGAAAACTTTGTCAACATCAAGGACCACATAAACAGATTCCTAGAGATGTTTGGGTACTGTATCAAATCTAACAATTGTTGAAGATTTCCCATCACATGATGACCTGGATCTTAAAGGTGGTTATGTTCATTCTTCCTTTCAGGCCACAATTTATAAATTATGGCTTCCGTTTATTCAACAACCAATCATTGCATCATTCCATGGTGCCAAGACCAGAAATGCAATGGCAAGCAAGTTCCCACACAGTCTCCAACCATGAAAACCAGACAACTCAACAAGGTCTGCAAATGAGTATTAAGGAACAACAGAAGCACAAGCAAGTCACTCAGGATTGGGGAGTCAGGGAAGGCTGCTCATGAGTTGATAAGATCAAAGGTAGGCCGGGTTTGGTGGCTCAGCCTGTAATCCCAGTGCTTTGGGAGGCTGAGGTGAGTGGATTGCCTGAGCCCGAGGGTTCGAGACCCGCCTGGGCAACTTGGTGAGACCTCATCTCTATAATAAATTTTAAAAAAATTAGCCAGGCATGGTCATACACGCCTATAGTTCCAGCTACTTGGAAGGTTGAGGCAGAAGGATTACTGGAGCCCAGCAGGTTGAGGCTGCTCCCGGCCACTGCACTCTAGTCTGGGTGACAGAGTGAGACTCCAACTCAAAAAAAAAAAAAAAGATCAAAGGTAAAAGATAAAGACCTGAGCATAACAGGGCCTGATGGAAAGTCCGGGAATAAGATAGTCATTGTTTAAGAGAGAACTGATAAGGATCTGATCAAGGTAGTAATCGTGGAGATGGACAGGACAGAGAGATTTGATTAACATTAGGAAGCTGATTGGACAGGTGAGGTTGAGTAAATGTTTGGGATGGGGGAAAAGGCCAATCTGAGATTACTCATAGGTTCTGAGTTAAACCACTGGGTGGATAGTGTTACCACAACGTATGTGCCACAGTGTCCCACACAGACAAATAAACAGATCATAGTATCCATTTTAGAAGCATCATCAAAGCATAGTGGAAATATAGAAGACAGAAAAGCAGAGGAACATGTAATTACAAAATAGGCTTAGGAGTCTGACTGATTGTTTATTTTGCTGCTACTAGTGCGTGATCTATGGATCCAGTCTGCATGGACCATGGGATGTTTGGAGACAATAACAGTGGCAAAGTCACATCATGCAGGGCCTTGTAAGTCATGTTTTAATGAAGTTTATCTGAAGGACAATGGGACATCGAACAGATATAAGCAAACAAGTGGCATCATCTGACTTGCATTTAGAAAATTCACTCTGGTTGTGTGACAAATGGATTGAAGGAGGACAGGGTCACAGGCAAAAGACCAGGTGGAGAGAGCAGGTGCTGGGGCTGTAAAGACAGGGAAATGTTTAAGAAGTAGAACCTATGGAACTTGGTGAGTTAATTCTTTTGGTTCTAAATGAAGCTTTAGCTTTGAAAATTCCATTCCTATAGAAGAGAGAAAAAAGAGTACTATCAGGTCATAAACAATTCAAAAAAAAAAAAGGACAATGCTATTCTTATATACACATAATAAAATTGCAAATGGTAATTCAAATTTTGTTGTGAATTCTAAGCAAGTGTATTAGCACCCTTTGACGTACCAACCTCAGTGATAACTATCAGGCTAGGGTCAACAAAAGTGCCTTCACTGTATATTCCTTCCCCTACAAGATGGTAAACTCCTCATCTTCATACCCTAGCACCAAGCAGAGTGCTCATCCCATATAACTCAATAAATGTTAGTTTAGTGGAAATGAAGTGTAATTCAGGATATGCTTAGGTCAAATGTGTCAAGCCTACTGAAATTACCCAGCATAAAAATAGGTCTCTTGTGCTACATTTTATTTCGAGAACAAATGACAGCAGAAAATTGAACTAATTTTCTGAATGGAAAAATTAAGTAGGGTAACCACTGAAAAGCAGCTGGAAAAAATGCTTAAAAGAAATGTTCAGCAGGGACGCCCAGGCACTGATGCCTGTGAGATAAAAATAACAGGTAAGTAGACACACAAGGAGAGCCAGCTGGTTGCATCTAGGAGTAGAGATGGCTCATGAAATGAGAAAGATTCGTCAATAGGCAGAGTTCCCAATCATAGGAAGAAAATTCATTTGTGTCCAGGACCAAGGGGAAGCAGGTTACCTATTTCAGAGGTAATGGCACCAGGTCAGGAATTATACAGGTGACATGTTAGTCCTTTTGGTAATCACATCTGTGATCTTATTCCAATACCTGAATTTATACTTTTTTTTTAAGATGTATAGATTTTAACTTGTTTAAAATCAATTAAATCTCCAGTTCCTATTTGGTCCAGTACCCAATACATGATAGAATCAGGACAGGTAATGAGTGAATATTAAATGAATGTTTCAATGATCAAATAAATGTGTTAAAATGCTTAAATGCTCTCTTATTACCTTAATTTCCATTTGTTCTTATACATATAAGATGAACTTTTTCCAGTTGGAAGATTACATCCTTTCCATGGAAAAAGTAAGTAACATAAGAATTAAACATTGCATTACCTTTCACAAGGATCTGACAATTCTAATTCTTTTTTGTTTGTTTGTTTGTTTGTTTGTTCCAAATAGTACATATACATATGCTTATAATCACATGCATTTTTTTTTCTTTTTAAAATGTTTCACTTTGGCAGGGCACAGTGGCTCATGCCTGTGATCCCAGCACTTTGGAAGGCCGAGGTGAGAGGATTGCTTGAGCCCTGGATTTTGAGATCAGCCTAGGTAACATAGCAAGACCTCGTCTTTACAAAAAAAATCAAAAAATTGGCGGGATGTGGTGGAGCGTGCCTATAGTTCCAGCTACTTGAGGGGCTGAAGCAGAAGAATTGTCTGAGCCCAGGAAGCCGAGGCTTCAGTAAGTTTTGATCATGCCACTGCACTCCAGCCTGGGCGACAGAGTGAGACCTCAACTCAAAAAAAAAAAACGAAAGAAAGAAAAAAGAAAAGCAGTTCACTTTGGCTACTCTACACTTCAGTTTCCTGACTGTATTTTTACAGATCTGTGATATCCATTTGCTTTTATCCTCAACCACAGGACTCTCTTTTAACATCCTGTGAATGTGCCTTTATATCCACTCCTAGCAAGTCTTCCACTGCAGCTACACTTACTCTCTTATTGTTCCTTGCTTTTATCTTCATTGTGACTATTCACGTCTACTATCAAAAAATGCCCACCCATTTGTGTCCAAGGAATCACACCTTTCTTTTCTCCAAATTTTAGATGGCAAACATCCTCCAACACATAACTTGCCGCAATTGATGTATGATGTTTTCTTTTTTTTTTTTTTTGAAGCAGGATTTATTGAGAGGACAGGAAAGCTCCCACGGAGGGAGGGGACCTAAAGGAGTTGCCTGCAAGTGATGTTTTCATTTTTCATTTCCACAGTCCTGTCTCCCGAAGCTTCCACCATTTTTAATCTCTATCAAGTTTTTCCTCCTCCTTTAGAATTAGCTCCAGAATTAAAGTGCTTTCCTTGTCTCTTCGACTTCTGGGGTATAAAATTGTTAGCAAGACAAGCAAAGACTGTGTCAGCTGTCTTGCTTTTCGGTGAGGTGCTCCTTTCAGGAGCTGTCTAGCTAACTCAATTTCTCCATCACTATTACAACAGCATGCCTTGACATCCACTTTCTAATTTGCATCGGGAAAATTGCTGCTCACATTCCAGATTTGGCATGAAGTCTATACTGTATTCTCCCGACACACCACTTCCGATTCTGTTCTATGCATTCATCATGAGGTCATCAGAGCCACCAAATCATGCACGCCATACAAACCCATGCCACTCCACAGCCCCTTCTGTTAGAAATGCCATGCTACTAATATAGACTTCCTAATTTTTCTCTGCATAAATTTCCTTGTCTAATAGAGATAATATACCTGCTCCATGGACTTACTTATCTTGGACAAACTTATGGCCACAAGATGTTTTTTAAACAAAATCTATATCAATGTAATTATTAACATTTCCTATATAGGTTGCATGAAAATTTACAGTAGTACCATAGTTAGTATCATCCTAAAACATCAAGATTGGCCAGGCGCAGTGGCTAATGGCTGTAATCCCAGCATTTTGGGAGGCTGAGACAAGAGGATTGCCTGAGCCCAGGGGTTCGAGACCAGCCTGGGCAACTTGGCGAGATCTTGTCTCTACAATACATAAAATAAAAAATTAGCTGGGTGTGGTGGAGCACGCCTGTGTTTCCAGCTACTTGGAAGACTGAGGATCACCTGAGCCCAGCAGGTCGAGACTGCAGTGGCCATGAACACGTCACTGCACTCCAGCCTGGGCAACAGAGTGTGACTTCGATTCAAAAAACAAACATACAAACAAAAATCATAGAGATAATTTATGCACAGTATATTAAAATCATAGTTTTGTTTCTTTGTCTTTAAAAGTAAATAGCCAGAGGTCTTAAATTGTTGGTGACCATAAGAGCCTTAAAACCTAGCAACAGGGTCATTTGATTCCATTGGGGCTAATGAAATGGTAGGCAAGGAATAGTTAACCAGACCGAATATCAACCTGTCCATTATTTTACTCATACGTCAAACTGACAATATCTAAAGCCCGGGTGTGTCACAAAGAATACTTACCAGGGGCCATTGTCTTGCTAGACTCTGGTGTGGCCATGTGCTCTGTGAGCTATAGCTGTTACCATGCTTCCTGGCTTTGGTTCCTCCCCCAACTTGGGAAAGTAAATCTCTCTCCCTTCTCTTTCTCTCTCTAATTTACTTTTAAATAAACTATATTTTTTAATCTAAAAAAAAATACTTACCAGAGTACTGCCATCAGTAGCCATGTATGATGTCAGCTGGGTGGAACCCAAAGCTAGAAAACAAAAAAGATTTTTATTTAAATGTTGAGATTAAAGTCTCCATAAAAGCACTCTTCAGCAGGGATGGAGAGAGATAAGGTACTCCTATTCTGACTGAGAAATGACACAATAAAAGAAATTCGTTAAATGGTTTTTTGTTGTCAAACTCAATAAGCCAACTGTTTTTTGTTTGTTTTTTCTTTTTTTTGTCATTGTTGTTTTGAGTCGGCGTCTCACTCTGTTGCCCAGGCCGGAGTGCAGTGGCACACTCATGGCCACTACAGCCTGGGCTCAGGTGATCCTTTCGCCTTAGCTTTCCAAGTAGTTGGAACCACAGGCGTGTGCCACCACATCCAGCTTTTTTTTTTTTTTTTTTTTTTTTTATAGTAGAGATGAGGTCTCACTTTGTTGCCCAGGCCAGTCTCAAACCTGTGGGCTCAGGTGATCCTCTCACCTCTGCCTCCCAAAGTGCTGGGATTACAGGTGTGAGCCAACTGTTTAAAATGGAGATCATAAAATAAGGGAGAATTTTCTTGCACATTTGTCAGTATCCTTTCAAGTCCTCACACAAGATGAGTATATGATTTACACACCTAATATGGCACTATTTATATATTCTTGAGAAGCAAAATATTTTCTTCTTTATGATGAGCAATACAATGTAAGATGTAGAAATATGTGATCCATTACTATTATCCAATTTCAGAAATGTAACCCCGTTGACTCAAAAGTCCTGACTTTAATACCAAGATGAACCCCTTTGATGTATAGAACTTTGTTGTGGATTACCTGAAAAACAAGACATTCTGCGGTTTCCAAAAAAGCAAATGAAAACAAAAGGAAAATGCCATCATGTTTTCAGATTTTAACAGGTAAAAAAGTTGTCAAAGATCCACAAGCCACTGAAACTCTCCCCAGAGCAAAGAGCTTTTCATCTTCTTCCCAGGGACACAAATACACATCCATGACCTATTTGACTTTGTTTCTTACATCAATAGGCCCCAAATTTTAAATAATGGATACTGCTTTTTTAATGTCAAAAATGCCATATTTATATTACATAGATAGAAACAACACGTTTATTTATAAAATGTGAAAAAAAACCATAATAAAGACTGATAAATTTAATTACCAGTCAAAAGCGGTGGCTCACCCCCATAATCCTAGCACTTTGTAAGGCAAAAGAGAGAAGATTGCCTGAGCCCAGGGGTTCAAGACCAGCCTGGGCAACTTAGCGAGACTTGTTTCTATAATAAATCAAAAAATTAGCCCAGCATGGTGATGCACACCGGTGGTTCCAGTTACTTGGAAGGCTGAGGTGGAAGAATCACCTGAGCCCAGCAGGTTGAAGCTGCAGTGGCTGTAAGCCTGCCACTACGCTCCAGCCTGGTGACAGAGTGAGACTCCAACTCAAAGAAAAAAAAGAATTAATTTTTAACTTATGTACTTAAAAAAATAATTAAAGCTAAATTAAACATCAAATCATCAGTTAGTAACTATATCTGAAATGTGCATTTCATATACAAGAACCACAATATAGAGAAAGTTCTATATAGAAGGGAAATTCAAAAAGTAAAAATATAAATGACTAATACTTAACCTCAATAGTAATTGTTTAAAAAGAGCAAAATAAAGCATGATGATTCCACTTTTAATCTTCCATAATTGGAAGGAAAATTAAGTGATAGAAGCCAAGTTTGGTGTATGTGGAGGTAGTTGAAAAGAATACTCTCGGTCAGATGTGCTGGCTCATGTCTGTAATCCCAGCACTTTGGGAGGCTAAGGCAGGAAGATTTTTTGAGACCAAGCATTCAAGACCAGCCTGGGCAACATAGTGAGACCTCATCTTTACAAAATATATATATATTTTTTTTTTTATATATACACAAATACAGCCCATGCCTGTAGTTCTGGCTACTTGGGAGGCTGAGGTGGAAGGATCGCCTGAGCAAGGAGCTCAAGATTGCAGTGATCTATGATCACACCACTGCACTCCATCTCCAACCTGGGTGACAGAGTGAGACACTGCCTCTTAAAAAAAAAAAAGAATACCCAAATACTCTTACATGTTGGATGCCAAATTCTTACAAAATGATGACAATGACAATGGCAGCAAACATTTGCCTTCATTATGAACCATAAACTGAACTAGGCCACTACCACAACAAACATGAAAAGAGTTTAGCAATGCATACAATACATCTTTAATTTAAAAAGCAGGTTGAATATAGGTACAGAATAGTACAATTATTTTTGTCATAAAAATATAGGTTTAAACCCATCCACACTCATGCATCAATACATTGAGGATAATAAAAAGTTTGACAATATTTCTAGCAAAATATGCAGGTAATTATCTATGGAACTTGGAGTAACCAGTGATTTATTTTTTGCTCCCCTATGTATTTATTGCTATGTGTTACCATGCCCAGCTTGTTTGTTTGTTTGTTTGTTTGTTTTACTATAGAGACGAGGTCTCACAAGGTGTCCGGGCTGGTCTTGAGCCTGTTGGTGGGCTTAGGCAATCCACTTGCCTCAGCTTCCCAAAGTGCTGGGATTACAAACTGAGCCACCGAGTCTGGCCAGATCACATTTTTTCTATCCATTTGTCAGCTGATGGACACTGGGGCTGATTCCATATCTTGGCTATTGTGAATAATGCTGCAATAAACAAGGGAGTGTAAATGTCTAACCCTTCTATATACTGATTCCTTTCTTTTGGATATACACCCAACAGTGTGATTGCTGGAGCGTACTGTAGTCTTATTTTTAGGTATTTTTGAGGAACATCCATACTATTCTCTGTGGTAGCTGTACTAATTTACATATCCACCAACAGTGTGTGACAGCTCCCCTTTCTCCACATCCTTGCTAGCCTCCGTTATTGCCTGTCTTTTGGATAGAAGCCATTTTAACTGAAGTGAGATGATATCTCATTGTAATTTTAATTTGCATCTCTGATGATCAGGGATTTTATTGATTGTCTGTAGCAATGTATTTTTAGTGTCCATTGATTAAGATAATACAGAATAAGCAAAAACTGTTTGAATTCAGCAATGCTTAAATAAAGAAGAAAATATATTGCAGAAATTAAAAGTACAAGCTTTGGACTGGACTAGACTGGATTTAAGTCTTACTTTGGCAACTTACTGTATGAAAGCTTTGGCAAATAACAATAATACAGGGCCTCAGGACTCCCATTTGTGTGGAAGTAATAATCTATAGTATTTATTTCTCAGGGTTGGATAAAAATGAAATGAAGAAATATCTTTACTGTGATCGTAGCAGGACCTAACGCTGAATAAATTCTCAATAACTTATTTTATTATGATAAAACATATTAATTACTTAAGTAAGCAAGTATTAAAAATCAAACTTTTATAGCTTTATATACCTTTTAAATAATATATAAAACATCACTGAAATAATAATATACCACCCTTATATACCTTTTAAATAACATATAAAACATCACTGTGAAATATTTCCTGACTCTACCCAAATGGATAACCAGTCTCTTTTCTGTAATAATACAAAAGCTAAATTGATTGCATTTATTAAGTAGTTGCCATGTCCCAGGCTCATTGATAATTTTCAAGTATCATGCCATATAACTATCAGTTACCCTTTGAATGATAATGTACTATTATTAGCCCCATGTCTTAGATGAAAAAATGCAGGCAATTTAGAGAGGAAGTTAGGAAATGGATGTGTCATCAGAATCCCAACCCAGACTGCAGAGCCTGTTCTCTTCACCATTCCAGTGCTATTCTGGCTCCCCGGGTATTTCCTACAAGGTGTCGTCCACAAATAACTCCACAGTGACTGTGGCAATGCATCCTGATTCTGTGGGCATTTCTGTCTCCCCACTTGGACAGTCTTCTTTATGCCACGGTATCTCACCTAGTGAAGGGCACAGGTTAGTCAAAAACTAACATAATATTTTGAGTGAATTAGACCACACCCTCAGAAGACTATATTTTAGTAGAATTTTGGATCCTTTCACTCAGCCAGCATTCTAGAAGTAAAACAAGCACAGAATTGTTAGGCGATGACGGAGGACAAAGGGAAAACATTCACTTCTAATTCTTCCTCCAAGCATTGGCATTTGTTGAAAATACAGTACTCTTGTCACTAACATTAAACCATCCTTGGATCCTGCAGAATCTTTCTTTTGTACACATACTACCTCTGACACCCTAAGTGTGTCCTCTTAAAAGTGGGTCCTCTCTGTTCATACCCTAGTCCGAGGGCTGCTGACAGAGGATCCTAGCTGACATCCCAGCTTCCTCTCTGGCCCAGTGATGTTTTTCTTCAATGCACATCTGACTATTCATCCCTTTCTTTAAATCCCTACAATGGTCATTGGTCCTGAGATAAAGACCAAAATTGTGAAAATCTCCTACAAGAGGCTTTGTGCCATCTGGCCTCTGTTCCCTCTGCTGCCCTTTCTTGGATCAATTCCATGTCTGTTTCTATCTCCCTTACACATAGGCTTTTTGGGATTTTTTTTTAATTCCTTAAACATATTTCTCCCAATCTCAAAGTCTTTGTGCATGTTTATCCTCAACATTCAAGGTGGCTTTTACTGTCTAATTTTTCAACCCTCTGACCAAATGTTACTTAATCAAGAAAACCTTCCTTGACACTTGTGAGAGATTAAGCCCCTTGTATACCCTCTCATATCACCTTATCTTTTATTTATAGTTCTCATCATTATAGTGAATGATTAATGTTGTAACTGGTTCTTTAACATCTGACTCCTCACTGGACTATAACCTACCTGAGGGAAGCCATTGTGTCTGGTCTAGTTCACTCATTTACTGCTGTGTCCCCAGTTTTTGTATACAGGGTGAATCAGTAATATTTGTTGAATAAATGAATTAAATACACAAACAGCAAAGCCACTAAACTATAGATGAGTTTCCATGCAGAAAATCTATGAATTTCACTGTTTTGTTTTGTGGAACATTGTCACTCTGTATAACCCATTAGAAATCTCCTTCCTGGCCGG